CTGGCAGGACAGCCCCCGGCAGGCAGAGCACCCAGGAGGCTCCGGAGCAGCCTCCGGGGCACGGGGGACCCTGCCAGCACCCCACGGCACAGCTGGAAGCTCTCCGGGGGCAGGAGGGGAGCGCTCCAGCGAAGCCTCCCCGGGAGAAGCCCGATGCCCTTTGATGTCCATGAATCACAGGCACACTCTCAAAATTCCTGTAAACGAGATGTCAAACACTCACCATACCAACCCCCAGGCTGCCGGGCCGGCGGAGGAGAGCGCACATCTGCAGCAGAGCCCTCTCCTCTCAGCCCTGATTCAACAATCCACATTTATGGCAAGGGTGGGGAGAGGAAAGAATACATTTTCAGAGGATTATACAACTCATCATTTGCTCATCAGAGTCTCTCTTTCCCATCCCCCCCGGCACTTCGAGATGGCTCTTGCTGTCCTCACCCTCACACCGCTGTGCCATCAACATTTCCAACAAAAGAGAAGGCTCTGGCAATGCAGATGCACCCCAGGACCAGGGCACCAGGACAGGCTGTCACCGCACAACGTCCCCACATCCCCGTGGGGACAACCACCTCTCAACCAGCCTAACCCTGAGCTCACGGCCAGGGCACCAAAGATTTATCATTCCACACCCGGAATGATACCTCTACCACCTTAAAAACTCAAATTTGAGGGATCCTCCTGTATGCACTGGCTCCAAACCGCCCTAGGTGGCTCTGACATGACACCGACACCCCACGCCATGCAGAAGCTGCACATCACACACACACACAGCGTCAAAATAAAAGCAGATTCTGCCCAAGTTGCAGAGTTTGATGCAGCCAGTGCACACATTTCCTCTTCCACGACCGCACAATTGCTTCCCACGTAACCAACATCGTTAAACACCGGTTGATGGTGGAGTTGGGGAACTGGTAGGTTACATTATTCATGTGTCTCTGTGATCCACTCCACTACTGCTCTTAATAGGTTTGAAAGCTGAACCAATAATTAACGTATGTCCGGAGGACATAGTTGCTATGAAGTTTTTGATCTATAAAAGAACTGAAAGAGCCAATAGGGCTTCAGAGCACAGGATCCTGTTTTGCTCTGTACAGGGGGAAAAACCCCACACTCAGACAACACCCCACAAATTCCAGTGTTCGGAGATGTGGGGAAGCAGCCGTGCTCCGAGCCCTCCAGCCAGCCCTGCCTCCCCTCGACTCCCACCCCAACAGCCTGGTGAAAAACACTCTCAAAGTCCTTAAAGTTAAAACAAAGCACAATTTCCAGGGGTTCCCTTACCTGTATCCGTTCTCGATCGTTTCTGTGGCTCTGACATTCGCTGTAACCCTCAACGTCTTGCTGGATAGTCCAACTACCGAAGGCAAGATTTTGTTTTTAAAGTCTGCACAGCTCCATTCCTCTTCTTCATTCAAGGTCGGGAGATAGCCACAGACAACTTTTAAGCTCCCCAGTCCATTGCTGTTCATGTAAGCGGGATTCTCTCCTCCACTCCGTACATATTCGAGGTATATATCAGAAGTTAAAAACATCTGGTAAGCATTTTCCTCCATCACAGTCTGAATCTCAGTCTGTGCCTGATCAAACATGATGGAATCTATCTGCTGCTTCTTGATGCTGTCCCTTATGTAGGTCTTGGTAGCAGGTTTGAGCTGCTTGGAGACGATGCTGTTGTTCTCGATGTACCTTTTGTAAATAGCTTTGGCTACTCGTAAAGTTTTGGTATCCTTAAGGTCCATCTGCCTGAAGCCATTGCAGGCAAACCAGAAGTCTAAGGTATCCACACATTTTTCCCTTTCCAGAAAGGTCCGAAAAAGATAGGCACCATCTTGATCTCCCAACAGGGAATGCAAGGATTTGGTCCATCTGGCCAGAGGGGAGTCTGGGGACGCGCTGCCCTCCGGCTCCCCGAGTCCGTTCTCATTCCTCCGCGGGGCAGGAGGCACCGGCATGGCCTTGAAGCTTTGGCTTTTGGGGAGAAACGAGCTGGCGAGTTGCGGGCATGGTGCTTCTCCTTCCTCCCCCGGGACAGGGGGTCGGGGGGCGTCTTCCCTGAAGCTGCTGCTGGGGTCTGGGAGGTGGGCGAGGACCACGGCGCTGCTCATGGCTCCGGAGCTCGCTGGGGAGAGGGGCTCCCAGTTGCTTCAGGAGCTGCTTGTGCCTCTGCCTGCCTCTGCCTGGAGTCAGCAGGGGATCCTCGGAGCCTCCTCTCTGCAAAGGGAGGGGAAAAAAAAAAAAA